CATTTTGCACAGAGGCTCTCACTACCAGCCAAATAAAGGACTATGAAGGATTTACTGTCTATTTTCAAAGAAATTACTTTTAACAAAAACTTTTAACTTTTTGTGGTTTGGATCAGTGGTTCTTTTCCCATAACAAAACACATGATATCATTAAAAAACTAAAACAAAAAAAACCAAACTTCAAATATTACAGAAAGGCATAAAAATAAAGAAGTAAAACTGCCTCCCATCCCAATCCCGTTCTCTAGAAATAGTCATTTTATGGTTTATCCTTTGAGACATTTTTCCATGCCATGTAAACATTTTATTCTTAATATGCAACTTGTATCATCCTATACAGACAATTCTACAACTTGCTTTTTGGTTTATACTTCTGGGTATATATGCTGTGTTATATGTATCTAATAACAGTCCACTGTATGGTCATAAAATAATTGATTTAACCAGCCCCTGATTGATAGACAGGTTATCTCCAAGTCTCTGTTATTATGACAACATTGGGTGGAATATGAATTGGAGGAGTAGATGGGGCAGGGGCACTGAGACCAGTTATGATTTAGGTGACAGCAATGATTCAGGTGGGAGGTAACAGTCCAATTTAGGGCACAGGCTATGTTTGCATGAGCAGATTCCAAGGACATTTAGAAGGACTCAGTGACCAAATGCATGTAGTGGGTGAGCAAGAGGGAGGCATAAAGCTGTCTCTTGGTTTCTGGCTTGAGCAAAAGGGTGGTAGAGGAGAGTGCAGAAAAGAGAGAGAGATGATCAATTTGAAAGAGAAGGTAATGAATTTGGTTCTGCATACTGGGTTAGAATTTTTGGGTGGAGATGCTCACCAAACAATTGGATACATGAGGGGCTGGGGCCTTTATGGAGTGGTATTTATGATCATAGAAGTGAATGAGCTCACTCAGATAGATCATGACGCTAGAAAAAAAAATGGGCTGAGGGAAGAAACCTGGGGAGCTCTAGCATCTATAGATGGGCAGAGAGAGGTGATTCGGGGTTCACAGGATGCTGAGTGGTAAGGAGGGGAGTCAGGGAGAACGGGTATCTTGGAGTGGGTGATAGTGCTGCAAGCTGTAGACAAGTTAAATAACATAAGTACTGAAAAGTGGTCATTGGGTTAATCAATTTCAAGGACATCACCGGCTTGTGCCAGAGATGGGTCAGCAAAGCGGTGGCTACTTTGCCATGCCGGTGTTGGTTGAGAATGGATGGAGAGAAAATGATTGTAAATTGTTTTTCAAGAGTGTGTCCATCAACGGGAGGATGGGCATATGAAAATAGATGCAGAGGAGACCAGGATTACATTTGGCCTTTTTGTTTTAGTTTTTGGGTGGCTGTGCTATAAGCATGTCCATATGCTAAGGGAAGGGTTTGGTCCTGAGTGGTGATTGATCCTGAGTACCCTTTGTGCAAGAAGCTGATGAAAGAAAGAACTAGGACCCCGGCTTGCTTTAGAGATGCTTGCAGAGTAGGGCAGGGCAGGCGGCTCTGTGAGGGCCTGACCAGAGCTTCCTACAGTCTTCCTGATCCCACAGCACAGGGAAGGACAACTCATAACAGTGAGGAAGGAAAAGGTCACCTGTCTGGACTCCCAGATCTGTGCAGTCCAGGGTGATCTGTAGAGTGACAGATGGGGCCACCAGCTCCTGATTTCTGTAGCTTCCTCAGTCAGCCAGCTAGAGCTGGGTAGGTTTTAGTAGGGGTTGCTATTTTTTTGGTGGGGGCAGGGGGGAGGAGCATGGGGACCTACCTTCCACAAGCCTTTCTAAGTCTCCTAGCTGGAATTCTTCTCTTTTCTCCCTTAACCCTTCATTTGCACTCTTGCTTAGCTTGTGAAACTTCCTTGGACTCAGTCTTGATCCCCATTCTCTGAGCTCTGCATTCTCTTTGGATCACTTCTTGGGCATCGACATGACACCTGTATACTGATAACTCCCCAATGATACATTTCTTTTCAGAACTTTTCTCCAAGCTCCAGATTCATAAATCCTACCACCCAATTGCCATCTCTATGTGTACAATGTACCGACGGCAGCTGGAGTTGTCATGGGTACAATGGAACTCTTGCTATTTTTTCCCCGTAGATGCATCCCTACTACCTCCCAAGTTCTCTCCATATCAGTAAATGGCACTCTCATCTACCTAGATATTCAAACCCCTGTTGCTTCTCTTCCATCAGCCCCACCTACAAGCTTTCTCAGTTCTATCTCAAAAATGTCCCTTGAGTCTGGCCTTTTCTCTCCATTGCCATGGCCATCACATTCAGCCCAGACAACTGTCATTGCCCTATTGGAAGCCACACAGTCCCCTCTAACTGGCAGTTCCTCAAATACCCTATGGTGTTGCCCACCTTAGGACCCATTTTCTTTGTTCCCACCCTCCACCTACTGCCATTCTTCAGGTGGCTGACATCTTTGAGTATCCGTTAGTTCTCCACTTAAATGCCATTTCCCAGAGAGCTCTTCTCGCACCACTCCTCCAAAAATAGGTCTGCCTTTCTTAGTCCTATCTCATTTCCCCTGCTTGCTTCCTTCATGACATCAGTTAGAATTTTTAAATATTTTATTTGTTTATCTTTTTGTTAGTATCGACCTACCTCAGGAATGTAAGCATTCTGAGGGCTGGTTGGTTCATCACTGCATCCCCTTGGACACGGGCACCAAGCACTCAATAAGCTTCCTGACTGAATACTCAGCCTGGGTTACATAGAGAAAGTGCTCAGAAGAGGTGACACTTGAGCTGGGCCTCTTCCAACGACCTTGTCCCATGGCACTTTGTTCAGACCTCTGTTAGAACATTTCATTATAACGAGTGCTGAGTGTTTTCTTGTCTGTCTGCTCACATCCTCGTATCTCTCTGAGGATCAGGACCACATTAATTCCTTGGTGCCCCAACTTATTATCATTATTACAATTGTGTGTTAGTGTAATTCAATTGTCTACCTTGGGAAAGAGACGCTAAGGGCATAGAGGGCAGAAGGGGATGGTTTTAAGGGGTGAGAGGGCCAAACTTGAGCATTCATGACCTTTTGCTTATTGGGACACAGCCTCTTTTTAAGGTTCTGGTCAGATGAATTTCTTGGCCCAGGAGTCAGTAACCAGGCTTGGACTGCTAAGGGTTGATAGGATTCAGATAGGTTACAAGAATAATTAGTTGGAGAGCAACTGATCTTGTGAAGCCAAAAATGTATTTGTCATAGTCAATCGTGCTCCCATGCTGCTGTCTGGGAAAGATGACAAACTCCTAGAGCTGCTGTTATTTTAAAAAGCAAGGGAGTTGAATCAGATGAGACTTTGAGCCCACTCCCCGTGCCCCATCTTTCCCAGGACTTCCTGCCTCCTCTCGGGATGTCTTCCTATTCCTTTTCCTTGCTTCTTATGAAGGAAAGCAAGGAGAAGCTAGCATGCATATGATATTCAGACACAAAGGATTTCTCAGGTCAAAGATGATATTTAAATTATCACCAGTGGATAAAATCCAAGGCCCAACAGTTCAACTGCTTGAAACACGGATTTAGAAAAAGTGCCCAGAAGCTGACAACGATGTTGTTAAATGGATGCTTTTTTAACTTTTGAAGGGATTCTGAATGTTTAACCATCCCCAATAGAATTCTCTTCGCTGGCTTCCTATTGTGGTTAGAAAATAAGAGCCAGGCTTTAAAAAAGAATGAAATCTTACTTACCATTTGAGGTATTATGCTAAGTGAAATAAGTCAGACAGAAAAGGACCTATACCATCTGATTTCACTTATATGTGGAATCTAGAAAAGAAAATAAATGAACAAAGCAAAAACAAGCTCAAAGATACAGAAAACAGACTGATGTTCGTCCGAGGGACAGGGATTAAGAAGTACAAATTGGTAGTTACAAAATAGTCACAAAGATGTAAAGTACAGGTAAGGGAATATTAGTTAATAATACAATAACTATGTATGGTGCCAGGTGGATACAAGACTTAATGGGGGAGTTGCTTCATAAATTATGTAAATGTTTAACCACTATGCTGTACACCTGAAACTAAAATAATACTGAATGTCAACTGCAATTGGAGAGAAAAAAGAAAAAAGAGTCATGAGTGTAGAAAGAATGTCTTGTAGCTGGTATGTGTGTTTTCTGGTAACCTACACGAAAATGTTTGGAATTTCGATACTTCCTGAAGTGGAGTTCTTTCCTGGAGTTTTCTGGCGGCGGGACAAGTTGAGGGGTATTTGTTGTGTCCTGATGGGACAAGACAATAAAAACTGTGCCCAGCACCTTCTTTCTTGACCCTCAGTGAGAACTCTGTGATTGGATGAGGGGCCAGTTCAGTGATGGCAAACCTATGACACGCATGTCAGAGGTGACACTCAAACTCATTTTTTTGGTTGATTTTTCTTTGTTAAATGGCATTTAAATATATAAAATAAATATCAAAAATATAAGTCTTTGTTTTACTACGGTTGCAAATATCAAAAAATTTCTATATGTGACACGGCACCAGAGTTAAGTTAGGGTTTTTCAAAATGCTGACACGCCGAGCTCAAAAGGTTCGCCATCACTGGGCTAGTTTATGGAACCCCTCCCTGAGCCTTACAGGAAGGTCTTCAGCGGAAACCACCCTCCCCATCCTCACTGCTGGTGCTAGAGTCCTCGACCCAGAGCCAGGGCATGCAAACTGCTGTTTGTTTTTAGGTGAAAATAGAGTCCAAGGAGAGAGGCTGCGTTTTCATGTTTCATTTGACATAGAAGCCATTGTTAGGTGGGAGGACCAAGCATATACAGATCTTGGTTTGACTCTATTTGCTTTCTCTCTCCCGGGGAAGGCTCTCTATGGGTTCCCAGGAAAGTAAACTCCAGTTCCCCACAGGTAGTCCACACATCATTGTTCAGCAATCAGCAAGACCAAACCAGTTTGTCCAGAAGGGGGCACTGTGGAGCCTCACTGCGGCAGCGGCGGGCCATGGTGATTTTCCTGCTGTTTTGAAGCAAGAGCCAGAAGGTGAATTGCCTTTCCCAGGCCAGCAGCAGCTGTTGCCTTGGTTTTTAAGAAGGGAAGCCATACCACGTCGATTATTTACATTCCAAGTGACCTGGAGTTGTTAAATCAACCAGCAGAGCTCTCTAAAGCCCAAGACTACATCCGGGACAACTGGGCAGCAGTGGAGTTGACAGCGGTCGCCATTTACCAGTGTGGTCTGGGCTCCTTGTCGTCCTCCTCCTGGCTTCTCCTTGAGAGTCATCAGCGGGGTTCAAACAAGATTTGCTGGTTCCTGAGCTCGGGTATGTCCAGCCTGGTTTTGCCTGGGTTATTGACAGACTTTTGAAGGTGAAGGGGTAACCGTGGGGAAGAAGAGAGACCTTTGAAGAGGGAGAAAAAGGCACTTGAGGGATTGCAAAGTACATTTTGAAAGGGTTGGAAAGGCCCCAGAATAAGCAATACGAGAAAGGAAGCATGAAAACAGATATTTCTCTTTTCTAAGCGACTAACCAACCACCCCAGAAATCTAGCCTGTGTTCCAACCCCATTGGAAGCAGGCGACACAATTAAAATAGGCGTGAAAATGCCGTGTTTTTGTTATAGGTTCGCTCCCTCAGAAGGCAGCCCTAGAGGAGTCAGGGATGTACCCATGTGCCCATATGTTTGTCTAAAGAGGACTTTATCGCTTCCCCTTGAAGCTGACTGCTGAGGCCAGCCAGTGCGATGAAGATGGTCCCATGATTTTAAGGAGCAGAAAGGACAATTTGTGTCTAACCTTTGAGTTTCTCATGTCCTATTATCACAGGCATTTGTTGAATAAATACATGGAAGCAGTCAAAAAGCTCACTGGGTGAATTAATTAGCACAGGAATTTCTGATTCCTCCTTCAAGAGAATCTTAGATTATTTAAGTAGAAATGTAGGAAAACGGGGAAACATGGTCAGCTTCAGGGTCCTGAGCTCAGACCGGTCCTGTCCTTGGTTTAACGCTTTGCAGTTGCCATCTTGAAATTCTTAAGAAAAAGGGACCTTGTGTTCTTATTTTGCACTGGGCCCCACGAATTATGTGGCTAGTCCTTCAGGGAAGCCACAGCTCTGCAGGCCTGTATAAAGTAACTATTTTTAAAAAATATGTTTTTGTTGATTTCAGAGAGAGAGGAAGGGAGAGGGAGAGGGGGACAGAAATATCAGTGATGAGAGAGAATCATTGAGCGGCTGCCTCCTGCACACACCCTACTGGTGATCAAGCCCAAAACCCAGGCATGTGCCCCTGACTGGGACTCGAACCGTGACCTCCAGGTTCATGGGTCAACGTTCAACCACTGAGCCACACTGGCAGGGCTGAAATACTATTAATGACGACAGTGACCAGGATAAAGATGATAACCTTGAGGATATCTGATCTCTTACAGTGCACTAGAATATTTCAATAAGGAGATATAGTACTCTGCATAAAACAGCTTCTGGGAGCCAGTGTTACACGGCGGTTAAAAGAATGTATTCATATTGAGAAAGACCTAAACAAAATGTCCTGTTCCTTCACTGACTAGCAGTATAACTTCAAGAAAGTTGATTAGTCTCTCTGAGACTGAGTTTGTTTATGTATTAAAAAGGGACAATAGCCCCACTGGGTAGGGTTTTGGAAAGGATTAAGGCAGGACTGTGTGACTCACTGAGCACAGTTCTGGGAGATGGAGGACACCCTGTACTGATGACTGTCATTCTTCTTCTTGGAATAGCATGACTGTATTACTTTCAGCCAGCTGAACTTAGATTGGGTGATCCATCAGTCTCCTGGCTTTGCAAATTAGGTTGCTAACACTTGCTGCATACGAACAAGTATGTTTGCTATTTCTCATAGAGCCACAGGTGATAAGATTAGAAAGTAAGTCCTGGACTTCTTTGATCTTATGGGTGGTGTATTTGCACTAGCAAAGGTTTGTTAGATTTTTCTCTTATGTGCTTTTAACCCTTGAACTGTTTTTACTCACTACGTGTCTTACTCGAATGGTGTTTTTTGGGGCACTATGTCTCCAGCTCTCTGACACCACTTGGTGTCCTGCAATTCAATTCAATACTGACACAGTCAACCCGGAGTTAGCGTCAGATCCCATAAATTAAGGGCTCAGTCCCAGGAGACTGCCCCCATTTCGGATGCCAGTCACAAGCCCAGGTTGTACTCTTGGTTGACAGGTTATAAATCCAGCGGGTTCCCACAATTCCCTCCTCTGGTGTGAAAATTTACTAGACCAATTCATAGAAGTCAGGGAACCACTTTACTATTGTTTTCCTGTTTATTCTAAAATATACAACTCAAGAACAGCCAAATGGAAAAGATGCATAGGGCAAGGTATGGGGAAAGGGGCATGGTGCTTTCCCAACCCTTTGATATGCTCACCAACCCACAAGCTCTGGAAGCCATCATCCAGATCGGCTTCATTATCTGGGTAGGTGAAGCTCAAGGTGGTTGCTTTACTTAGTTTCCCAGGTGCCGTAGGAGATGTTTGTCAGGGGCTGTCTGTGAAAGGTCAACTCTTGACCTCCTTAAGGATGAAGGTGAACTACATGGGGAAGACAGTGATTTAGGAAGCTTAGGGAAGAGCCACAAAGAGGAGTATGAAGGACTTGCTAAAGGTCCATGTGGATGGGGTTGCTCTTTCCAGGCTGCTAGGAACAGATTTTGGCTGAAAATGTTTGTTTTGTAAGTACAATACCGTGCAGGTTGATATGCAAATCAGCTCTCCCAGATGAAGCTTCTCCTGGAACCGGGCTATGACCCTGACCCAGCCACGGGCAGGCTCTGCAGGGCTAAGGTGGTGTCCTTCCTTCCCCTTCAGGGGGCTCTGAATGGGCTCTCTCTAAAGTGCAAGATATGCTCATCTCACCTGTTTCGCGGCCCCACGGAGCCGAGTAGGAAGCTAAGCCCTCTGTGCTTAGGGTAAGACTGCCTTTATTTAGCTCTCTTAAGATTAAGTCACTCACATCACCCCTCTGAGACAGATAGGCAGTGGCGTTGCTTTTATTACCTGACACTGTGGTTTATGCTTGGGATCCTTGGCGCCGGACTACTCACCACGGGTAGCACTTCAAGTGTGGGCTGAGTTTCCTTGGCCAAACTCAGACCATGTTTTTGCTCTGTCCCCTTTAAAAGGGAGAGTCATCAGCGCACGTGAAAGTTGGAAATGAATCCGGACTAGGCTTCTGGGTCATGGTGAGGATAATAAGCTGTGTCTGCTTGTTGTCACCATGGACTCAGGATGCTCCAGGCTGTTTGGCCCAGCCCCCTCACTATCCCGAGGCCCACAGGCAGAGCAGGTTGAGACCAGGGCGTAGTTCTTGTTCTGCTCTGGGCTTCTGGACCGGAAGGCTACCCACTATATCTCCCAGAATGCTCTGTGAGTCTTAAAGACTGGGAGAAAGGAGACCGAGACCAGGAGGTTCTTCCATCTAAAGTCAAAGACTGTGGCTCAGGCATAGTCTGAGCCTTTCTTCTCCCTGTGAGCTTTAGAGCAGCGGTTGCCAACCTTTCAGACCCCATGAACCACCAGTGGTCCGCGGACCACCGGTTGGCGACCGCTGCTTTAGAAGACATGTCACCTACTTGACCTGGGCTCTTCCCTCTACTCCCTGGACTCTAGTCCCTGGGACTGTCCCTTGGAGGATGCCACTTCCTCCCGCGGTCTCGGTGGAGGGCTGAGGTGGCAAAGCCAGACTTCCCTTAGCTTCCCTGCCCCCGAATTCCCAGGGCCTCTCGTACACGAGGGGGTTGTGAATGTCCCATTTTTAATGGAAGATACGGGAATACCTAGAGGGAATACTGATTTAAAAGAGAGATAAGCATAAAAATTACTATTCTCAGGACTTCGGAGATGAAAATTTTTTCAACTTTTGACAGGAGGTCTCCTGAGAGAGTGACTCACTCCTGATGCTCAGGGCAGGGGCTCCCTGGTGGTCTCCTTTCCCGCAAACCTCCCCTCCCGTTTGGAAACCCCCCACTGCTCCCACATGGAGCTGGGTGTTGTCCTTGCATCCCCCCGGCCCTCCCTGCTCAGGGAAAGCCTGTAATTGTTCAATGTGGGGGGTTCCTGGAGTCGGAGTCAATCACTAAATGGCGCAGCCAGAGCATCGGCAGGGAGGATGCTCTCACCCCCAGAAAGCTCCCCTCCTCCTGGGCCTCTGGGACCCCCTGAGTCACTACAGGGCACAGCCCGCACTTATCACAGGGGTGAGGGGTGGGACACATGAGCTCCAGAGGTCAACAGTGGTCCTTGGGGCCAGTGCACCCTCCATACCTACCTATCTACCAAGGAGAGAAATGTCTTCCTCCAAGGCAGCGTGCCCTGCAGCCATATCCTCCATGCCCCCACACCCCCCACCCCCCCCCACACACACACAGAAAATTTAGCTTTATTGTGCATTGTCCTTTCTCCCTCTTCCTGCTGCCATAATACACCCAGGGGCTTCAGGATGAGACAGAAATGGGACCAGTATTGTGCCTCTAAGCCAGCGGTTCTCAACCTGTGGGTCGCGACCCTTTGGCGGTCGAACGACCCTTTCACAGGTGTCGCCTAAGACCATCCTGCATGTCAGATATTTACATGACGATTCATAACAGTAGCAACATTACAGTTATGAAGTAGCAACAAAAATAATTTTATGGTTGGGTCACAACATGAGGAACTGTATTTAAAGGGCCAGAAGGTTGAGAACCACTGCGTAAGCCCAAGGCCTCCTGCCCCCGATCACACCCACCAACTAAATAAAAATCTGCAGGTGTGAATCTTCCTGGAATTCCATTCCTTTCGAGGCTGTTGGGACCTTGGTCCTGCAGCGGATGAAGAGGATCTGAGGGTGAGACCGTGCGGAAGAGAAGGGATGGCCCCGCTGGCCTGCTCTGGCTTTTCCTGCCCAGTCACTCGATCATTTCCACAAGCCAGAAAGTTCATGCTCCTTTGACTGAAGTTAGGCAATTTTCCCTTCCAATCAGGGGAGTTAAATTAACAAGTTTGTCTTTCATATGTTTGGAGAGTGGCCTTTCCCTCCAGCAGGGACAGGCTGCCCATCTGCATGCCCACCGTCCAAGGCTAGGGTCGCCATGGAGGTGAGAGCAGCGAGGCAGTGGCTGTGGTGTCCAGTGGAGGCTTTGGGGACCCGGCTGATGTGAGTCTGATCCCTCACACCTGGCTGAGGGCGCGTCCTGGGGCAGCAGTGGATCTGAGGTCTTCACTGTGACACCCCAACAAATCAGGGCACCACCGCTGCCTGCAGCTGGGGGTTGGGGGCAGGATCCCATGCAGGGAGCT